GCCATCGTTAGAGAAGACGCCGCGATCGTGACGCGACGCGACAATTGAATGCGTATGAAATCACGTGGGTCTGTCAAGACCCTTAATGTCTCTTCCAAACTCACCCATCCCATCGCCTACTTCAACCCCACCGCCAAAGTCGAGACATTCGAGCAAAGCATCTCCATCTCCCCTACGTCCCAACTCTACACCCCAACTATCTGGCTCTCAGAGGCATACTCCTTTACCGTCTGCGTCCCCACGGCAAGTTCCTGGTTCATTAACTTCTCCATCGACCCCTCCTCTCGAACGCTCAAAGACAAGAGCGAGAGACTTATTACGCAAGCACTATGGACTAAATGTGACGCCTCCACCCCCATCTGGTCAACCCATGGATCCAATGGACCTAGGTGGGTGCCCGGACAAATAAATCCCGCACAGCGCTAACAGGATCATAGACTCGCCAGCCTTTGATGCGAAGGCATATTACGACCAGCTTATTACCACAGCATCTCTCACGACGCTTTTGAAGAGAGAGAATGAGCTGCTTAAAGGTGAGTCTTTGAGCGTTAATGACGTATACAACCGCCTCATAGGCCCTGGCTATCCAGAGATGAGAGAATTAGAAGGCGAACGTCAGTCTCTAGTCTATGAAAATCATAATGAGCTTATAGATGCTACTGATACCATCTCTGCGGTATGCGGATTGATCCCACACTACTTTCAGGTTGACTTACTCCGATCCCGATAGATGAGGCATCGAGCCGAGTCGCTCGATACCAATCTGGAACGTCTCAGTGAAGCATTCTCTGAAATATCTCGTCTAAGCACCGAGGTTGCCATTGATAACTCTACTTCGTCGCGTTGACGTGTGCTAGCCTTCATATATACTCATGTCGAACACCGACTATGTCCATGCGCCTGGTCGATTAACTCAATTTATCGAGGTCATTCTGCCAACGGGATTTGTCTGCAATGCCATTCCGGAGACTAATTGCCGCAACCTGTTTTTGCTTTACTCGTCGGACTGGGAAACATGGCTATTAGTTAGCCACGTACCTTATTTGCTCGTCACAATAGTCGCGAATCTCTTGGTAATGTTTTAAGCGATATCGACGGTGCATTGCCACCAACATGATGCAAGTAGCTGCCATTGCTGCGACAATTTCTCTAAGGATTGAAGACGTCCACGAAGCAAACGGAGAACACACCCAGGACAACCGCGAGCGTGGTCACTGCATATTGCCACAGAGCAACTTCGAACGGTTCTTCAGGTGGACTAGAGCAAACATTTTGGTGGCAAGTATACTGGATATCTGCCTCAGTTCGAAAGCTTTCGAGAAACATACAAACACACTGATTGGCAATCCCGGTGATATTGGCACTGTTGCCCGACCAAGCGCAATCGCTCGCAAACTTGGGTCGCTGTGCTGCAGAAAAACTGTGCGGTTTGGCAATTATCGCGTACGATGGTGTTCTTGAATCCTAGTCCGATATTGTCTAAATCGGCATACGTGCTGAGCTCAAATATACAAGGTTCCTTCTCGGTCAAATTGGCATAGCTTCGAGAAAACATTATACTCGCAATTTATGCCAACGAACACGATAGACAGTGCTTACGTGCAGACGGAACGGAGGCATATGGAGCCGTTGGAATTGTTATAGTCAGCCAGCCCGGCGGTATACGATGATGCGCACTGGTCATCGCGATTGAACTGACATGGCTGACCGACAGCACCAACCGGGTGGCAAGCGTCGCCCTCATCCGGACAGAAGCTCCCCACAGGACACAATGCCGGTGGTCTCTGATCCGCGCGATATCCGAATGGAAACTCTTCGCGCCGGCACTGGCGTGGGAGGCAAGTGCCATTGATCGCCCCTGAGCAAAATGTCTGGGCATCACAGTCACTTGTAAATCTCCTTGTGCGAGGGTCGAGACGGTTGGCAGAAATCGAGCACGGCTTTCCAAGGGTAGTTGACGAAGGTCCAGACGTTGTAGCGAGCGATGAGAGCATTCGCCCCAGATACACGAGAAGGAGCACACAACTTAGCAGGCGCATGGTTGAGGAATAATGGCTGGATATATTCCGGATGATATAGATACAAGAATACAGATTTCGACCAGGCGACAGCCCAAGTTATCTACGTAATTATCCCGAAGGAAACCGGTTAAAATATGTATGCTTACCAGCGTCGCGATCAAGACCAGTTGATTTCCATGCTGTAGTTCTATCATGGCAGTCAATATTTGCGTAGACCAGTGGCCAATGGAAGCACCTGGTGCGGATCTTCGGACTCCCGGACTCCCGGACTCGGGGAGATAGACGAGGTCACGTGGACTCACCTACGTTACGCCACTTCAGTACCGCCTCGCTCTTCGACACCAAACTCATTATCACATAGATTGACAACTCAACAAACTTTCAGACTCGCGGACATCTGCAACTCACTGACATAATGATATGCTCGTCAGGGCTTTCATCAGATGACTCGTCATCTACCGATGAACATGAACATTGATTCAAGTTATCACTGAACATGCCAGTGCGGCCCCAATTTAATAAAACTTTGTCGGTTAAGACTTGGAACACGCCCCGCTCCCCGTTGTGCTCTTAACTTCGACCTAACTGTTATGTCTGACTCCACCTCAAGTGTCCATCTACTCGTTCTCATTCACGGAATGTGGGGAAGCCCATCAAATCTTGCTTCCATGCATCGCATCATTGAGCAACGTATCAACAAATCAAAATATTCGAATGGGGCAGCACTCCATGTAATGCTTTCCGAGACCAACAAGGATGAGAGTACCTATGACGGGATAGACTGGGGAGGAGAACGAGTGGCTACTGAGGTGAGTGATCTACCTAAAGTTGACGATCCATTTCCTAGTAAGCGCTCTAGTATAGATCTTTCAAGAAAAGGAGAAATTAGAAAGGCAGGGTAAGAGGGTGACTCGGTTTTCCATCACGGGATATAGCCTGGGAGGCTTGCTCGCACGTTATGTTGTCGGGTGAGTCTCGTCTTTCACCTTGTCCTTATCATTAAATGTTCATGCCCGACCTTGCGCTGTATATAGTATCCTCTACCAGCGGGAGTTCTTCTCTACTGTCACTCCCATAAATTTCAATACCATGGCAACGCCCCACATCGGGCTTCTGCTCTACCCTTCGCTTCTTTCAAGATTGAATTCATTCATCGTGCCTAGATTTTTCAGTAGAACAGGAGAGCAGCTTTATGGTGTAGATATATGGTCCAAGACTGGGAAGTCCCTGCTCGAAGTCATGGCAGATCCAGGCAAGGAGCCTTTTGACTTCATCCATACGGGCCAATTGATCTCCCTGCCTAGAGCATGTGTTCTACCAAGGTCTCAAATTGTTCCCCAATATTCGAATCTACGCAAACGCGTCAATCCTTTCCGTCACTATTCACATCTGGCAAACTAATTTGGTACCATACAGTATCAATGATTTCACGGTGCCGTACATGACTGCATTTGTGGATGGAAAGGACCCGTTCATCAATCATACCACCAGCGGCCTTGCGGTGTGCGCTGGCTCACCTGTCACGTCACTCAGTATGTTAACTTTCCTTCTAGAGTCTACGACGACACCTACTATCCGATCATAAAATCTTTTGATATACCTGATACGGCACCACCCAAATGCGAAAGGACCCACCCATTCACCTGGATGTGGTTCAAGTCTTACAGGCCCCCACTTCCCCCTCGCTTGCAGGCCCCCTTTCCATTCAACATAGTATGTGTCTATATGAGCATTCCGCGGACGAGGTAATGAGGTACCATACAGGCTTCGCTTGTCCTTCTTCCCGTTCTCCTTCCAGCTGTGATCACTCTTGTGATCATCAGGCTTTCCATCTCATCTCATCATTCTCACTCGCGCATCAAGCTACTGGAGTCTGAGGACGCGTCCGCTACGCAGCGACTTATCCACGTCGTTGGGCAGCTTGAGCGCGAAGTGGAAGACATCGTCGTGGATATCGTCGATAGTCCTACTAGCCCAGTGCTCTCAAAGGAAACCTTACGGATTTCAAAGCAGAATCCGCGCATTACCCCGGCTCAAAGGAGGATGGTAGTTGCTCTGAATGGGCTTCCACAACTGAAGAAGGAACTCGCATACATCCCTGACGTGCGCAACTCGCACGCGGTGATTATTGCACGCGATATCAGTACTTCAAGTCCCACAAGATCGGAGAGGGTGTATTAAGGCACTGGGCAGATGCGTTTGTTACATGAACGATCATCTACTTGGTGGAGGCGAGGGGAGGTAATTCTTGGATTCAAGCTTAAATGACCGTTTGCTTCCCGTATTGTTGCGGTTATCCACAAGAGGACAGCCCAGCATCTAAGGAGGAAGTGCTTTTGTACTTCCCCCTTAGATGGCTGTCCTCTGGTGGATAACGGTGACCTGCAATCTTTTAGCTCGATTGATACCTGTATGTTATTTGGTTATAGATCCACGCTTCATAGGACATGATTGAAGCATCCGTTTCTTTCCCTGGCTCAATCGCGTATACAGTAGTACTGTTTATGTTTTGAACATGCTCGGAATATTATGGTGAAAATAGAGGCTGGGAGGGAATGAGAACGATCGAACGGCACCGGGAGGCAGAATTTGATGCGTCAAGTCGTCATCGTTCGGTCCTCAGGCTGTTTGACTATGAGTCGTAACTGAAACTGGAGTATCGTATTTCATGTATGGAGGCGTGGCGTGGGGAGGCATTCCCGAAGCGCTGCTGCCCCGGCGTGGGCGAGCTCGGTCAGTGAGGCAGCGCCACGCTCTCTAACCGTTATCCATGCGGTCATTCCGCCTTCGGACTCCGCGCGCCCCTTCCAACCTCTTCTCCTGACGCCCCACATATTGTGGTAGATGATAGTTCGATGATACGTTTATTCCCAGATATCCCTTGCCCCTCATGAGACCTGGTGTGCACAGCAACTACATAAATCGACTTCTATGATTGCCAAAGCTGTTGATAAGAAGTAATGACACAAATTGTACAATGCATTGTTGGGGTAGTGGTAACCTGGATCGTTGCCACCGAGTATCACATGACTCGATCCGCCCCGGGTTCGATTCCCGGACAATGCAAGTTTTTTGGGTCATTTGCTTCTGTGGGGTTGTGGGATAGCAGGCAGGAAGTTTTGGCACTGCTATTGGAAAGTGTCATATTTACTTTTTATCGTTAACATGGACCACCCACTGAAACACCAGGCTTTCCAACAGCCGGCCCGTAGTAACCGAGCAGCTATTGGACGACTGCCAAGTTGACGCTTAGTTGGCACAACAACATGCCTGTCAACCTGAGCCTCCGTCTTGCAATGGTTTTCAGTATTTTTGCATCACTTGTCTATGTGCTATTCTATATTCGCGATATTCGGCGTTCTCAACAGCAATTTTCTCCTTCTTGGGATGCACCTGCCAATGATAACCGCATAACACGCTCTACCCGGATCGTAGCGGTTGGAGATTTGCACGGGGACATTGAAAACGCGCAGAAAGTGCTTGAGATGGCACGAGTTGTTGACTCGGACGGCAGATGGTCAGGTGAAGTGGACATCTTCGTGCAGACGGGAGACATCATCGATCGGTGTGTACTCTGGTATCGACATACACTGCGCGTCTCTGACTCACGGGCCAAGGGGTGACGACACCATCCGACTGTTTGATTGGATGGAAGATCTACGGTCCCAGGCGCTGGGCGCTGGTGGACGAGTGTTATCCCACCTAGGCAATCACGAATGGATGAATGCCATCGGTCAGTACGTCGTCCAGGGCATATCCCCTTGCTAATCAATCTTCGGATATATAGGCGACTGGAGGTGCGTTATCGACGTAGGCATATGGACTATGTATGAAGGGATCCGTACAGATACGTTCACGAGAGCGAGATCAAGACCTTTGGCGGTGTTGCCGCACGCCAGCGGATGCTCTCAACTGGCCGCATTGGACGTGCTTGGGCCACGAATTACACCGTCGCATCTCGTCTTCCGCTTCACCCGTCCTTTGGTGAACCAAACGATGACTTTCCTCCTCTCGCCGGATCCGTTGCTGGTCGCTTGTCTGCTCCACTCTCTCACGCTGCTTATTCCTTCGTACACGGGGGCCTCGCACTCAGTTATCCGCAACTCTTGCCGTTTCCGTCGTCCATAAACGAAATCGGACGCTCGCTTCTCTACAAACTGCAGCATCGCGCACAACCGCCACCGCACCCACCACATCCATACCCTGGTTTACCATCTAGTGCGACACAAGAAGAGCAGACGATGTATGGACCAGAAGGCCCTCTATGGTATCGTGGATGGGCACTGAACAGCGAGAAGGAGGCGTGTCGGGACGTGGATTCAGTACTGGAAAAGACCGGAACGAAGAGAATGATAATGGGTCACACACCAGACTTCGAGGTGCGTCAGATTTCGTTAGGCATATAGTGAGGGTTAACACTCCTTACAGAAAATCATGTCGCGTTGCGACGGCAAAATCATTATCATTGACACTGGTGAGCGTCTATGCGACGACTTCACGGCATGGAGATTAATGGATGGGCACAGGAATTTCACACGCGTATGGAGGCGTGTTGTCAGCATTGAGTATAGAATATGCCCTAAAGCCTGTTTCATCGCCTTCCTCCTCGGAGAAAAAGTGGAGAGAGCAGGAAATTGTGAAGGCCATATACCCAGATCATTCCATGATTCTGGTAGATGAACAGCGAGATGTTTTTAGTGATATTTAGAGTGCGTATCACACCCTTTGTTTTTGCCTATGTAAAGTGCGAATCGAACTCCGTTAACTTAATTATTGACTTGGTTACCCCTCATCTACCACACGAGCTCGTTTGTCCGAGGGTACCCACTTGACCATAGGTGCGTAATACCACGATGTAAAAGATCCTCTGCATCTCATATTGCGGCATGTTCCAGGCAGAGCCTTGATGTTTGAGCCATGGAACACTCTCCTTCGTTCCTCCCTGGCCTGAATCTGACTGTCTTCGGACTAAGCTCTAGGTTTTGCATCCTTTTTGAATAATCATAGGCGTGGTGGTTCAGTATCATCCATTATACACGCTACCAACTGGCAGGCCATCGGGATCATAGTCCGATTACTCTTTCTATCCATCGGTGGAGTTGTGGTGCTGCGAGCAAACATTCGCGGCTCGCACGTTGTTGTGACTGCTTAGACACAACCGTCAGATAAGACAGCACCTTCACTTTTTAATTTTCTTGATTCTCTACTGGCTGATTAGCATGCTCGAAGGAGATGTTTCTTTCTATCCCTGGTCATCCGCGATGACGTCACAAATATCTTTTCCAGGCCCGCTCCATTTCCGATACTTCCGATACTCATTCCCCGCCCAGCGGGCCAGCCTAGTCTAGGTCTGTTTGTATAAATTTGGACGGAGCTCTCCTATGCCTCTCGCACAAGATGTTTAAACTTTTCTCCAGTGGCCGTATGCGATCAGCTCCTACAGACTGTTCCCCGAGTAGTTTGTCCGTAGAGACCATCCCTGGTGGTCCATCGCCCGACTCTTCTATCTCCCCTCACAACACGCAACACCAGGCCGTGGCCTCGGGAGCGGGGGAGGACGTAGGTGTACATTCTCAAACAAGCAAGACTCAGCACGTCGTCGCCGCGCACGTACCTACCCCCCTAAGGACCTCTAACTCCGAACTCAGCCCTGTTATCACAATGGCCCCTATTTCCAATCCTATGCCCAAGAAAGCGAACGAAGGCTCAGCAAACCATCATGATTCCCGCAGGCGTCCCTCTGATGCCACCTTCACTGCCGCTGCCAGAGAGGGAGCTGAATTGGGGCCCTCGGCATCCGTCGCTTCCCGCCGCACAAATCGCAGTGCGGCCGTCAGCAATGTGAACGGCAGCGCATTCGCCAATGGCGCAGCCACCGCGGCGAATCAGCCTCCTGACGTAGACCCGAGCCTGCATGTTCGTGCAGCCAGCGCGGAGGACGAACTCAAGCCGCGAGAGAAAGCCGCCATCAAAAAGGAAGATCGTATGTTTGTTTGTTTTTTGCTGCTGTGCTGTTTATTCGGGAGCTGCGCTGACGCAGCGCTTGGGGTGCGGTACAGATGGTATGGGCCGGAGGCTGTCAAAAATCATAAAGAGCGAAGCCAAGGCGGAGAAAGCTGCTCTTCACGTGGCGCTCAAAGAACTAGCGGAGATCCAGAAACTCCAAAAAGAGTCTATCAAGGTAAAGCCGCCAAGATCATTGGGTTTCTTCCTACTACCCGGCGGATCCCTCGAGTTTTTAACCATGCTATTGTTCTGTTTCTAGGAGGAGGCGATGTCCCACACGAAGCACTCTCGCGCGCTGAGCGACGCTCGTAAAGCAGAAATGGAACTACTCGTTGCGCGTACGGCAAGTGAACGTGAACAGGCGAGTCTACGCGCCGCGGGAGAGGTGCTTGAGGTGAGCCGCAAGCACGCACGCGAGACGACCGAGATGCTTCGCGAGAAGATGGAGGAGGTTGAACGTCTGAGAGTGTACAAGCAGGTGGACGACAGGGAACGTGCCGTCAAGGTGAAGAGCCTCGTTGGAGAGGTAAGCGTTCTATTTACCAATGGGAGGGTAAATCCGTAACTACTCACGGGCTCGGGCGCTTCGGATGGTGCAGGACAAAAAGCTCCGTAAAAGAAGTCTAGGATCTAAATAATGATCGTACGGTATTTTCAGGACTTCCATAAGTTTAGTTGCCGTCGTCTTGCCTCTCCACTCTAGTCTTCCCAACTATTTTGCAGAATCGATTATGCGTTCCACACAGGCGTATGTATTCTAGTGTACATATTGGTACTACATATATATGATATTCCCTAGTGATGGTCAGGAGATGCAAGAAGCGGGCGTTCCTCTCCAATCGATCGTTCTTTATACTTGCGCACCAATCGTGATGTGAGGGCGCCGCCACCCAACATCACTACCTCTTCTCTAATTTCATATCCGCCAATTTTGGGTAGTAGGACAATCCGAACGTAGTAATACAAAGCGCAGAACTGGTGAAAGGTATGTTTTGTCACATTTGAGCAGGGCATCATGGAATTTTTACGTACAAGGAGCAGGGCTACGCCCACGACACAGTACCTACCCATCCACCTACGGTAAGCGCTCCGCGCAAAGGTAGAATAAAGAAACAAAGCTACGCACATCGCATACCAGAAGGAGACATCCGCCTGTCCTTCCTCTGGCGGGACCCTGCAACACCGGGGCGAGTTGTCAAGTATCTGAACCAGATCAAGAACGAAGCGCTCACCATGGCATCACGAGCAAGAATACACATTGGAAAAGCCACAAACCGATGACAATGTCCCAAACTTGGAACGGGGACTTTGGCAGCCCTTCACTTGCGCGGCGAGCACGCAGTCGCCACAACCCAATCGCCGTCGCGGCATGGAAAACCTCGAAGAAAAAGTGAGTGCCCTTCAACTGACGGTATTTGAGAGAGTGAACGTACTAGATTGGGATATGATGCAAGGTCAAGAAGGAAGTTGAACGCATCGCGCGCAGGAAGTAAGGATATAACGAGGACGGTAAGCGCGTATTTGAGTGCGACGGGTCCAAGTGGGGTCCCGAAGGGTCGAGTTGACGCAAAGAATGTGGGATACGGAAGGAGGCCTTGACGAGCGACTTCACGTAGAACACGCGCTTGGCCTACCGTCTGCTCTGATGTGAGATGCTACTCAAGGGTCGGGGTATGGCCATATCAGAAGACACCTACGACTGCAATCTGTCAATCGAACCGTGATGTAAGTGGTCCAGGTTACCGGTTCAAAAGTCAACAATTTCACTGACGATATTCCCCACACAACTGAGCGCGACCAGGACCGGGAGAATCTTAGAGGCCCAATGTCCACCGAATACGTGCTGAAAAAAAAGAGCTCCCACGAGTTGTCCAGAGTCTTTTATCTTGTCGAGAGGTACCGCAGCGATGTAGGCGACATTCACAGTGACAAAAAGCACCGTAACAATACCAAGAGAAATGAACCCCGCATTTCTAACTGTGCGGACAGGTCTAGTACCTTTCACCTCACCGAGCACGTTGAATGCGTTAGACCAGCCAACATATGCGAAATTTGTCTTG